CCTAGCCATGGCATGTGGCATGATTGATTCCAGTCTCTGAACCGTGTCTTTTCGCTGTAGTGTGATCATGTGAGAAAAACAGATGGTTAGTATTTATCTTAGCATACAGAAGTCCTGGTGTGGTTGCTCATGCCTGTAGTTCCAGTACTTGGGAAGCAGAAACAAGAGGCTTGTCATGAGTTCAAAGCTATCCTAGATTATACAGCAAGCACCAGGCTGGCCAGGCTACATAGCAAGACCCTGTCTCAAAACAAAACAATCAGCATACAGAATACTCTATCACGTCTCTTACATTCGTCCTCTTTTATCTTCCCCATCCTCCTTCACATAGTAACTGTTAGATTTTTTACTCTGTTCACTCTTTCTTCATGTCTTCTATGTTTGTTTCCCTACTCTCCTGCCATTGATATAGTACGTGAAATAGGTTCTAACTAGCTCCTGATTCAGAGTCCCTCTAAGGTATCCTGTACCCCACATTCCATGCAAGCCCCAGGATTCTCTTACAAGAAAAGTTTAGGGTAGCACTCTTTGTTATCCCAGAGAGTGAGTATAAGAATAATGGATGTATACCCTGTTTTGTTTTGTTTTGTTTTGATTCTGTGGTCCAGTCTTGAATTTAGAACACTCTTTCTCTGGATAGGGATTATGAGCATGTGCCACCATCTCCAGCTACAGGGCAAGTCTACTTTCTTCCTTCCTTTCCTGCCTCCCTTCCTCCTTTTCCTCTCTTTCCTCTTCTTCCTCCTCCTCATCTTCTTTCTCCTCCTCTTCCTCTTCTTCCTCCTTTGGTGGCAGGTTCCCATGTAGCCAAGGTGGCCACAAACTTGATATACAGAGAAGGATGACCTTGAACTTCTGATCCTCCTGCCTCTTCTTCCTAAGTGTTGGGATTCCAGGTGTATACCACCAAGTCTGGTTCATATGGCACTGTGGATTGAAGCCTGGGCTTTGTGTATGCTAGGTGAGCACAAACTGAGCTACATTCCTAGTCAATCGGCAAGTCTTGGAGCTGTAAACTCATATCCCATTAAAAAATACAGGGACAACAGGGCATGGTGATGAATACCTGTAATCCCAGGACTTGGGAGGTGGAGGCAGGAGGATCAGAAGTTCAAAGCTGTCCTTGGCTATACTGTAAGTTTGAGGCTAGCCTGAGGCTACATGAACTCTGACTCAAAGGAAAAGAACAAAACCAAAGTCAACTACCCAACCACCTAACCACCCAGCCACCCAATCAACCAATCAAAAAGCCCAAATACTGAGACAATGTTAACTCTGTGTTAAAGCTGGGGGTAAGAAGATGGTGGGCATGAAAGGGATGCTAAGTTCTCCCTTGTGGTCACTCTGGGAAGAATCTTCCCATTTGTACTTGCTATGGGTCTCTTCAAGGTGTTTTCTGTCAACACGGTTTTGATGAGAAGAGGCTGAACAAGTTCCGGAACCCTTTGCCTCACACTCAGAACCACTCACAATTTTGCTTTGGGCCCATGTTTCAGGGAGTTTTGCTTCAACATTCTATTTTCATCATGTGTACCTTTTTATATAGTGTCCCCTAAATACATGGATTCCCTATCTTTGTCCAGGAATGCTCCCCCACCCCCCAGGGCTCTTGTCAGGTCCTCTGGTCTGCTGAGGCTTGTTCTCCACCCAAGTCTATAGTGTGCTTGCCTTCTTTGGACTTCCCAAATTTCAAAAATTGTCGGAATTATTAACTTAGAAACTTAATGACATAGCTTTCTTGCACTGTTGAAACATTTCAAATGTTGAAGTCCTCTCTCCCACTGGACTTGGAGGTCCAGTGAAGTTCAAGGGTACAACACACACCCTGGGATTTCCCAAGGCAAGCTTAGTCTGTGTGGCACCCAGCACGGGTAGGAAATGGGGTGCATTCCAGGCCATCTCTGGAAGCTCTGCTCTTTTGGCCCAGACAAGCAGTTCTGGATTTAAGCCAGTCATCTCTTGAGACAGAACACCCCCACCCAAAGAAGATGTACTACCTCCCTACTGGCCACACATTTTTGGATCTGGGAAAAGTGAGTGTTTAAGAGCACATCTCAGCCTGCTCTAATCATCTGTGCTGATGACTAACAGCCCAGGGCCTAAGGCATTTTGATACTTTCAGTGTGAGTGACATGGATCTAGGCTCACATCTGTTACACTTACACACATCTGTCTTCAGACATACGTCCCTCCAGTCATAAAAGCAGTAAGTTGCCGGGCTCATGAGAAGGCCCACCAGCAGCAGTGGGGTAAAGGCAGTGCTTTATAAAGATAGAACGCACTTCCCTAAAAGGAATAGAGTCTGCATAAAGGGTACCAAGAACTTTTGTACTGTTTCTGCTACTTTTTTTTTCTTTCTTTTTTTTTTTTTTTTGGTCTTATTGACACACGGGGTATCCTTGTATCCGCAGCTGGAACTCACTGCGTAGACCAGTCTGGCCTTGAACTAACAAAGATACTCCTGCCTCTGCCTCTCAAGTGCTGGGATTAAAGGCATGTGCCACCAAGCCTGGCATTTTACTACTTTTTTGTATGTCTGAAATGATATCAATTTTTAAAATTGTAAAGCAGAAATAACAGAGAATTATCTTTCTTACAGACTCCTTCCTACCTTCCTCAGCCTTTTTAAAGAATTCAGTTTTTTCAACACATTTATATAGTTTTCAGTTGTGGACATATCTATTTTCTCTATCAGACAAGAGGTAAAAAAAAATTATTTCAGAATCAAAGTCTTAAATATTTCATATATAAAATGTACTATTCAGGGCTGGAGAGTTGGCTCAACCGTTAAGAGTACTGGTTGCTCTTGCAGAGGATTCGGGTTCAAATCCCAGCACCCATATGGCAGCTAATAACCATCTGCATATACATAAAATAAAATTATAAATTAAAGTATTTAAAAAATAAAATGTAATATTTTAAAAATATTGAATTATTGGAATGGGGTGGTCTAAACGTTTTGTGGTTTAGGGCAAGATATTTTACCCTCCTAAACTGAGCAGCACTTTCTGGTTAGGAACAAAATTATCAGTGAGAAATGATTGACTAAATAACTTTTTTTTTTTTGGTCTTTTTGAAACAGGGTTTTCCTGTAGCCCCAGCTGACCTGGAACTCACTATTGTAGACCAGGCTGGTGTTGAACTCACAGAGATTGGCCTGCCTCTGCCTCCCAAGTGCTGGGACTACATGTGTGTGCCAGCACTGTGCTGGCTAGTTTCCTGACCTCTAAAAACTCTCAGATGCCCTAGCCTAGCATCTGTGAAGCCTAGGTCAGACTGCCAACAGTAAAGATAAGGAAGGGGGAAAAGTGAGTGGCAGGGGAGGGGGAAGCAGGGTTAGGGCTAACCCCCAAAGCCCAAGAACAGCCCAGGCTTTTGATAACTTTTCTGTGAGCTGCACAGCCTCTCCAGGACTCTATTTTCCTCATCTGTGAAATGGGACCAGTACAACTGGGAAGGAGGACTAAGCCACTTCTAGAGCTAAGGGTGCCAGAAGGAAGGGTTACAAAATCTGCCAATTAATTGCTCACGCTCAAATCTGCTTCTTAGGCTCTGGCTTCAGCTCCCAATCTACATGTTGCGGCTGAAGGTAATTCTGCCCATCCTCGAGGGACATTCACAGGCTTGGACTAGAGAGGACAGGTCTAGGGTTTCTAGCAGCCCCAGGAGCTCCTGGCTCCTGAGACAGGAGCGGCCCTGGTTGCCCTTTTCTTTTCTGGTCCTTTCTCAAGATGCTGCTAAGCTACAGAGCATGGCTTTGGTTCTCTACCTCTGTGGGACTACCTGGGTCTTGTGCTATCCAGGCCTCCTATGCAGGGTCCCTGGTGCAGAAAAGAGAGATTATTCAATGTGGCCACATTGGGAAAAGGGACAGAGACCCAGTGATGTTCCCCACCCTCAACCCATGTCCATCTTTGGTGTCCAGATGTTTAAGTGGAGGCCACAGGTGTGCATACCTAAACAATCCTCCTCAGGCCTGGTCCTGCCCATCGTTGTCTGGGTTCCAAGCTCTCCAGCAAGGCGGGAAGGTAGAGTTTTACATTTCTTTCCTGTAGAAAAGTCTGGGATGGTGTGACCTGCCCGCCAACCTCCTTTGACCCAGGCTTTTAGATTTCTCTTCTTCCAGCATGGGATTCCTGGGGGAATTCCAGTTCTTTGTGGTTCATTCTGATAGCCATATTGAGGGTCACAAAAGTCTCTAAAATTTCTTTATCCCTGCCAGGCTGGTTACACTTATGTAGCCTAGGTTGACCTGGACTCAGTAAATAGTCCAGGCTGGATTTGAATTTACATCCATCCTCCTCCCTCAGCCTCCCCAGTGCTGGAATTACAGGTATGTCTCACCATTTAAGAGACCCCATTTCCCAGAGGCCTCAATTCCTACTTCCCTGGGGTGATGGCTCGCTCAGCCTGGACCAGATTTAACTGCAGGTGAGCAGCTGCAGCGAAGACAAAGAGGAAACAAGAACAGCAACAAGTAGCTGGCCAGACGCCCTAACAAGCAGGCCAGAGAATAAAGACGGGCGTGGTCCCCCTCGCCTTCAATCCCAAGCACGCTGGAGGACCTCTGTAAGTTCGAGGCTAACCTGGTCTACACAGTGAGTTTGAGGCCAGTCAAGAGCTACATTTTTTTTTTTTTTTGAGATCTTGTCTCAAAAAGAAAGAAAAAAAAAAGTAAATAAAAGGAGACAAAGACGACGTCTGTAAGAGAATGAAAGCACAGCGTATGTGTGAACGAGAAAAAGATGCAAAAATCAAGTGGTGAGGACACAGAATGGAGAAGGCCGCATCCACCCGCTCTTGGCCCAAGTGTTACGGATTCTCTCCCACACTGAATCATTTCGGTACCGAGCGCCTCTCGCGACCACCCCGGGCCGAGGCCCTCCCTCCCGAGTGGGAGGTAAAACCGGCGACCAGCATCTCCCGCAGCTAACCCCAAACGCAGAGAGGGAGGGCGGGAGCTAGCGGGAAGGGAGGGCGAGGGGAGGGATGGAGGGAGGGGCTGCGGTAGGAGGTAACCATGTGGTTCCAGCTCAATTTTTTTTTCCTCTCTTTCTCCACTCGGTTCTCTTTCCAAACAGGGAAAAGTGTTGCACGGCGCGGTAGCGCCTTGTCGCCTCGCCTTTTCCCTCCCTGACCCTGGGCCGGGCTCTTGCCCTGGCGCGAGCTGCTGGGGCCAGGGCTAAAAGCCCTCGGTGCCCCGGGAGCGCAGCGCGCAGGGGACCCGGGCGCGGGGACCTCCCGCACATGGCTGCAGCCCCCCGCGCGCACCCCGAGGCGCCGCGCCCAGCTCGCAGAAGGTCCGTCGGCTGCGCCCCGTCGTCCTGCAGCCCGGCAGCGCTGAACGGGGAAGTGCCCGTGTCCAGGGATCGGCATGTCCCTCCTCTTCCTCTGGCTAGGTGAGTGTCTTGGGGAGGACGAGAGTTTGGATGGCCCTGGCTAGCTCATCCCTGCGTTCCGGGGAGATTGGTCTTCAGCACCGCCGTTCCCGCAGCCCAGAGTGCGGTAACCCATCGGTCCCTGCCTCCGCGCCACCCAGGAGCGCAACTGGCAGCTGAGGACCGCCCAGTCGGCCATGGAAATGTCTCACGCATCTGGGCCCTCCAGCCAGCTCCGGGGTGGGGGCGTTTCCTGGTGGAGTTTGACGGAGAACCGTTTGGTGTGGTGTGGAGGGTACTTTTGAGCGCGATGTTTGGTTTCAGGAGTATCGAGGGAGAGAGGAGAACTGGGGGAGGGAAGATTCATCCAGGGATTTCTGTGCCAGGTTCTGAGGGTGGGGGAGCTTTTTTGTTTCAAACCGGCGCTCTGAGCGCTCAGATTAGAAACAGATGTGTTGACTGGTAAGCAGGAGGGAGAGGGAGGAGAGAAGGAAGGAGAAAAGGGAGAGAGGGAAACTGGGCAGGGCGCAAGAAGCACCAAGAAGCCAGGTGGCCTCAGACGGTGCTGAGAGCAAGCCCGGGAAGGAGAGAAAGGAAAAGCCAGGGAAGCAGAGAGAACCGAGGAGGGGAGAACAGGATGTGAAGAGCTTGGATGGAGGGCAGCCTGAGCAAAGGGAGCCTGAAGACCTGGTTACCGGTGTAGCAAAGGAAGCCACCGAGAGAAGGGCAGACACTGCGCGCTGCTGACCCTGGCTCCTGGGCAGAAAGAACTCTTCTGGGTCTTTTTAGGTGGGTGGGACCCAGGCCAGTCTCCCGAGGCCTGGATGCCCTAGGGCACATGCTGGCATGCCTGTGTTAGACTCAGGCGGGTATGCAGGCTAGGGCACAGAGCGTTGGGTGGGGCAAGAGGCTAGAGGACATGTGAGGGACCTGGGCAGGAAGGCAGCAGAACCACTGGACAATAGTCACAGTATGTTTCAAAAAGCAAGGATAGAATCCATCTGGAGACAAAACCCAAATGTAGCAGGAGTTCAGAACATCCAAGAGCAGATCAGGTGTGGTGGACACCAGGCCATAGGAGAACTGATCAGTGGATTTGAAGTGACTAACCAGGTGGCCCACCAGCTTACTATGTAGGGTTTCATTCCATAGCTCTCATGTAAGAAAATGAGATGGTTCCTGGGGCTCATCCAGGCCTGAGAGCCAGCAGGACCAGGACTTAGATGGGGGCTGGAGCCTAGAAGAACCAGCAAACAAAAATGAAGGAAAACCAACCAGTTGCTTGGTGTGGTGATCAAGAGCTCTCCATCTTCCTTTGAAAACCCTCATACCAACTTGGCATGCCTAGGCTGGTAACTGCCTCAGCTGTAGAAGAGTAGAGCTGTCACTAAAGCAGGGAAGTGGAGAGGACCCTTTCCAAATTCTTTGAGATATTGGCCAATTATTGCAATACTGCTCCTGAGCTCGGCTGCCATAGATCATAGCACCTTTGTCACCCCTCCTGATTCCACCTCTAAGCTACGAATAACCTGATGTTCAGTAGATTCAACTTGCGGAATGCCAACTTACACTCAAGTCCTTGTTAGCCCGAGCACTTCATGTTAATCCCTCTGTTCTTCACACCAACCCTACTGGCTAGCTGTTAGGACTAATCTCATTTTGCAGATGAATAAATCAAGGTGTACAAAGGTCAAATAACCTGGTCAAGGCCACAAGCTCATAATTAGCAAAGATGGGATTTGAGTATAGGCTAAGTGCAGGATACCATGCAAAGTGAAGAGTGATTTTGGCTCAAATGGTCATTTGGCGTCAGCTGGTGGGACTGGATGTGACCCTTGATGATGGTCATCCTCTTGGTTTATGAGAAAGGAAGATCTGAGATCGATATCAAAAATGTCATGGATTCAGCTTCTTTATTGAGCACTTACTAGGTGTAATCATGTCTCTGGTGAGACAGTAACCTATTGGGTTGATTCTCTGCCTAATTTCTCTGTTAAGACAGTAAACTGCTGGGTTGATTCTCTTCCTGATTTCTTTCTTGGGTCTGTCATTATGTTATTATTACAAACTAAAGTCTCGGAAGAAGAGGAAGGAGGATTACTGACTTGGAATTTGTGTCACTGAATCTTTATTGACACCTGCTCTTAAGCTTTTGCCATGTCTAGGCTGTTGACAGACTCAGACTCTGATGTTCTAGATCTAAGTTGCTTAAACTGTTCAAGTAAGTGACAGGCCTCAAAAGAGAGCAGTATCAAAGGGACCCCTCTCCACATGAGACCCTGCATGGGTTAGGAGCCCACAGGGAAAGCAGTTGTGCCAGCTGGATTAGCCCATATTTGCAAAGTGGCTTTGAGCCTCAGTGTGCTTAGAAACCCTTCAGCAAAGCCAAAATGAAAATCCAGACTTCCCTGAATCCAAAATTCTGCTGTTCTATTGACCCTTTAAATGGGCATTTTTTTGGTGCTGTTTCTGATCATGGATGACTCTATTCAGAGCCTTCTTTGTAGGGAATGCACACTTAGCAGGAGAGTTGGGAGGACTCAGAGGGCTCTTCATCTGAACCAGGATGGGTCAGTTGACCCCTTGCTTTTTGGACTCGCTAGTGAGCAAGGCCAAGTGCCCCCACCCCCTCGTATGAATAGCCAGTGTTCTCTAAGAAGCAGAAGGAGTGGAGCACCCCACCCTTCCACCCTTTGGGTTCTCGTTACTCTGCCTTAATGTCTCCCCTGGTCTTGTAATAGCTGTCACTTGTGTCCAGCCTGACCCAGCCTCCATCCTATACTCTGTGCCTTGTGGGCCAGCTGACAGGAAACAGAGCCTGAACTAGAGAGTGGCAAGCTGTCTGGGTTCCAGCTCCCTGTCTCTTGTCTGTAAAATGAGGGTGAGGTGAAGGACCTTGCATTACAAATTTCTATGATTCTATGACCTTAATTTTCCAAAAAATTTTAGTCATTCTCATTACTTTATTTTTTTGTTATTTTTAAAAACTAACTTTTTAGGTCAGAATGCAAAGTACCTATTGCTCTGTGTGTGTGTGTGTGTGTGTGTGTGTGTGTGTGTGTGTATTTGTGTGTTGCTGGGGAGCCAGCCCAGAGCACTCTAGACAAACACTCACTACTGAGCTATACATCCCCAGTTCATATCCATTGCTTTTAATACTGAATACAAACTATTCTGAGCAGACAGGAGAGGAGCTTGGTTCCTCACACAGTGAACTTGAGGAAGGCTTGCATGTGTAGTCCCTAGGTTTGTAGTACAATGACAGATCTCAGTGGGATCCCACGTCCTTCTGTCATCTTCCCACATGAGTGGTGATGGTCACATGGTCCCAGTTGGCTCACATCCTGTCCCACCTTATTTTTTCATCTTATGCTCAGTTGAACAACACATGAATATATTTAATCTAAGTACCTGATGATGATGATGAACTAATAGACAAATGATTTTTAAGATATAATCAAAGATTGTCAGAAGTAGGGAAACTAAGCTACTACCAACTGAAATCACTGGTTCTTAAAATTTTGAACCCAGACCCCTCTGAGAAGCTAATGAAAACTGCAAGTCCATTTCTTAGAAGACACACATACATCAGATTTTGCCAGTGAAGCAATTGCCAATCCTAGGGCTTCGTTGACCTACTGGTAGCCTTCTTGTAACCTAAGTTCATTCCTTATGTAACTCTTACTCTTCCTTACTCTTTCCTTTATGGTTAAGAAGGTACCAAAGTTAAGAGAGATTTGGCTAAAGTTATCCAGCTAGCTTAGTGGAAAGGGCAAGACCAGAACCCCAATTGCCTGATGTGTTCTATCACACATCCTTGAAATAGAAAATGACTTTCCTTCCTCTTCAGCTCCCGTAGATAAGCTTCAAGATTGCAGTTGCCCTTCCAGTGTTGAATTCAGTTAGATGAGCTGAGTGCTGAGTAATTGGCATGGTTTTCATGTTGAGAAATTGCTGGAATAAAAAATAGGGAAAATGTTGTAACATTTCAATTTAACCATCATAACTGGAAATCCTGGAAACTTTGATGGGCTATGTTTGATGTAGTCAGAAAGAAAAGTTAATACCCAGGATTCCAAAGATGTGGTTGTATACATACAAGAAACAGGACTGGAAATCGGTGACTCTTGTTCCTTCGTAATGCTGTGTTATTCCAAGCACATCATACCTACCCTGATCTTCCCTTGCTTCTCTGTAAAATGAAACTGCACTAAGGCATTTCTGATGCCCTTCCCTGAGGTTCTGAGTTCTGGTCAGGACATAGTTTTGCCACCATAACCTGCTTAATTTTTTTTCAGGTACTGCCCACTTGTAACAATTTTTGGCAGGTGATTACAAACCCAGAAGGGCCAAGTAAGATGAACAAAGTAGTAGTGACTTGCATCCCAGAACTGCCCTGCAGCCCTGTGAGCCAGAGTGATTTTCAAGGTCAGGGCGGTGACCAGATCCGCAAGCCTAGGGAATCCGTGTCTGAAATCCTTACCGAAAGAACTTGGTCCTAGGCCATTGCATACAAACAACACCAAGCAGAGATAACCCAGGAGTGACTTTGGTGTTAAAGATCTTTTGTGCAGAACTATTTGTAAGCATTAAACATTTTCTTCTGCATTAAAAATAAAATTAGATTTTTCTGTATGTGGGAGGAGGCATGGGCCACAGAATGCATGTAGAAGTCACGTCAGTCCATAGAAGCTGGTTCCTCCTACCACGTGGGTTCCAGGGACAGAACTAAGGCGATAAGGCTTGGTGTCCAGTGCTTTTGCCCACTGAGCTGTCCTGATGACCCTGTTTTTCTTTTCTTTTTAAAATTAATTCATGATTTACAATTAATAAATATACCTATTAAGGGTATAACTTGATAGATTCCATGCATGAATTTGAATTTGTGTTTGGGGTTTGAAATTTCAATTGTATGTTATTAGCCTACTTATAATAAATACTCTGAGAGAGAATTGCGTTAGTAGGAATATTACCATGACAGTAAATCTGTGACATGTTTTGGTGGCTGTTTGAGACAGGGT